TTTGTATTGTTTATAATAATAGAAAAAAATAGAATAAAAAGAAATGTGGGAGGGGGGGGGGAGTTGAGAAGAAGCAGAGTGATAATTAAATGCAGAATAATTGAAATAGCATGAACACTTATTCAACAGAATATCTTAATGGGATAAGCAGTCTCATTCTTTTGTATTTTGTTAAGCTAGATATAAGGGTTTCAGGTATATCTTGGAAGAGAAATCAACTTACAGATCCAGATCTTTATGGGTCTTCCTGCCATATAAGACACACATATTGTTTTGTACTAATTATACCTGCCTTCCATTTTGCCAGTTAGGAAGATACTAGTGAATGTTGAAGCCACTTGAGACAAACTTTCACTGGAGAATTTAAATCATTCCAACCCAGCTCTTGCTTAATCATGTGGTTTTTGCTGGATGAGTTGGCCTGAAGAATAAAGAGTAGGTTTACCTTGTTTAAATCCTGGGGAGTCTGTGAACACATATTTTAAAAAAACATGAAGTGGTCCAAAAGCAGACTGACCGTAAACCCACAGAAGTTGGAAGTATTGTCAATATATATGGAGGTTTGTGACCAGCCATGAATAGTGAGGTCTCAGTGAAGGATGAAATTCAGATTCACTGCTGGGAGTTTGTTTCTGGATTAGGTGCTTTCTGTGACAGTTAAGCTGTTGTTTTGATCAGCAGTGCCTTTTATCATTATTAACCAGATAAAACAAACTTAGTTTTACTTACTATGAACTATCTTGACAATATTAGTATAACCCTTTCCTCATGGGGCTGTCTTTAAAGACTATTCAGCAACTGGTACAGAAAAGAGGTGGAACATAGAATCACAGAGTTGAAAGACACCTCAAAAATCATTTGTATGGTTGATGCTATAACACAGAGGTAGTCTTGAGTTCAAGCAGCTATTTATCCAGGTATCTTCCAGGCAGGATCTTTCTCAGCTCCTATAGTTTTAAAACAAAAACAAAAACAAAACCTAACCAGGAAAGAGGAGCTCTAAGGACCAATCCCCCTCCCTTCTGATGCATCCAATTAGGAAAAAATAAAAATAAATCAACAAATGCGAGCAGATGAGAACCACTTTATTTTTTCATTAAGAAACAATACAAATATGCAGACAGGTTCACACAGATACAGAAAAAACTTTATGAAGCACTATGCCATTGAACTCAATAGGATGCATCTGCTTTTGTCCTGCAAAAAGGCCTGTTCTGAGTTTGCATTATATATATAACAGCCTGGACAGTCTCCTTAAAAATATAGAATATTTCAAAAACACAGTCCACAATTAAACAACCCAGCTCTTCCCCCTCTTCATTTTACTTCTCCTATTCTCAGCTTCTTCAAATCTTGATCCTCCCTGAGTCAATATAAT